TCAACTAATCTTCAAATACAAAGTTATGACTAGAAAACTACTTGTCCAAAATTGGATTTTTATAAATCAAAATACTCCGAATAAAATTATGCTTTGGTACAGTAAGTTAATGTATGAAATTAAAAATAAATGATATCATTTAAAAAAGTAAAAGCTTTAAAAAAATTATAGCGATAAAAAATTGTAAGACATATTATTTTTTCTCAAAAAATCGTAGCTTTCTAACAACTTACAACTATGTAAAAGAAATATTTTCAAAAACTTTAGAATTTTGTAAAATACGTAATAAGAGTTTTGCGTTCAACGAATCACCATGTACCTAATTTACTCTAATTCTTTGATCAATTTATTAATAAAGCACATTTTATTCATTGATATTTTTGGAAATACAATCTGTACTTGTAAGTTGTATTCAACTACTTTTGTCTATTTGCTCACCGTCAATAAGACGTAATTTGTTGTTAGTAGGGTCCGAATTTAAATGCCCTATACATTTTCAGAAAATGCTCTAAAATATAGCAAAAATGTAACACTAACCACAATAATGTCATTAAAAAAAAACCCCAAAAATAATTAAACGATCCTTGAAGAAACGAAGATATGAACTTGACAAAATAAACGCTATTATGACGACCAAATAGCTCTGACTAGAAAAGTCCCGGACGCATAACAGCAGTTAATTGCACTGTAAATAGATAAAAACGTTATGGACATATCGAAATCATAAATAGTACATTCGACAATGATCAATTGTTGGTGGAACAAAATTTCTTGAACTAATATTTAGAATCAAAAATTAAGTTTAATATTGAAATGTATAAATACACTAATAATTAACAAAATCACAAACAAATTATAAACAAAATGCCCTAAAAACGCCAAAAATTCTAAGAATTCAAATAAATTCAAAATAGAAGTTTAAGTTTTTTTTTATATATGAAACAGATTTTGTACTTGAAAAGCATTGCCGGGGACTTCCCAAAAAATAACGAATTTCCGTGCCTTAGTTATTGCGTAGTTAACTAATGTTAATTGTTGTTACCTTTAGAAATACTCCAACGTTGAAAAATAAAACTTGTTTTACGTCAGAAATTATTTTTACATGTAAGTTAGTAATCATCGTTGTATACTTAAGTAGATTGTTTGTAAATGTTCTTAAACGATCCCAAATTTTATGAACATCAAAATGATTTATGACATCTGAACATCTCCAAACGCCCACCCGCACAGTTATACAGCTAAAAAATATGCAACAAATAACAATCATAACAAACATAATAAAAATATTTTAAAGTATCATATATTCTTATTTAAAGCAGATGCATAATTAATTATATCATCTCTAAGGTATCCTTATTATAGTTTGTCCACTTAAATATGATATTTTCATAATATTTATATTAAGTCTCCATTGGTTATAAGACAATTTATTATAGTTACACACAATTGCGTAAGTACCACTAATACCAATACAGTATTCATATTTTAATATAGGTAAATGATTCTCTCACGAAAATACGGAAAAGTACTCAGGTTCCTTGTTCCTAAAATAGTTACCCAGTTCAATAAATTGACGCTATGTTTCTATAATTAAATACTTACTGGATTAAACTTTACACTCAAATCCAACAGAATAATATTCTTATAATACTATTCAAACCAAAAGTATATTACCTAAAATACGGCTGACCATTTGATATTGTGTATAGGCCTACCGACATGATATTTCGTGATTAATCCATCGAAATAGACGGTTAGAACATTACACATTGACAACAAAACTACTACTTGTAGGTAAGTAGGTGTTTGTTGTAAAGCACAAATTCGTTAGATCGTCTCGCAAATGTTTTCACGACATTCAAACATTTCTATGCAAAGCACCGCGATTAATTACTTGTTATTAGAGCGCAAATATCGTTGAAGAAAAACGTACGATATTTTATAATATTTTCGTTGTTTTCGTAAATCGCAATAATTCCTGCGAACAGTGTAAGTTGAACATAATAATATGTATTAGTGTATGCTGCTCGACAAATAATAATATATCATTGCCGTTGTTATTTTATTCTGTTTGTTTTTCTACTAGTGATTATACCTATTAATAAACTATTTTTTTTATTCTACATCATTTTATTTCTGTCTGTGGTGTGTATAATGTCGTTAGCGTGCTTGTGTGGCCATCGTTTCCTATACATTTTATTATTTTAATAATATGCTGGTATACACCGCAATATTAATTTATTACACCAACAGTTAACAGCAGTCATATATTTAATGACATTTGTTTTATATTTTTTATGTTGGGACGGAGGTTAGGTTACATTATAAACATAAGACAAATTACAGGATTTTTTCTTTCGTTTTTGCTACAAACAACAATATTTTTTTTTTTTCTTTTTGAAATATTTTAATTTTTATAAACAGTGCCACTGTACATTTCGATGTTTTAAATGCAAGTAAAAAAAGTTAGGTTTTCAAATATCTAATCAAATTATACGTTTCGATATTAGATGGATCCTGTGAAATATTTTAATACTGAATCCATACAATCCATTTTCAGTGATGAAAATACATAATAATTATTGTTGTTAGAAAAGAACTTGAAAACGGAATAGCTATTTGTTCTAAACTGATTTCCATATCACTGGATTTACTAGATAGGTACTTAATTTACAACGGTCAATAGATGTGAGGAACACAAGATGGCACCTCAAATTTGACAATAGTTACTATTTCGGTTCAATTTCTAACCATTAAAAAAAACCTAGGGAAGCAGAATCAAACAAACAGCACTCAATCGCTATCGCTTGAAGTCCTAAGCATAAAAAAAAAACCGTTTCAGTTCCATTATATGAAGAAAAAAATGACGCCATGCCGTGCGCCAGTCAGATTTGACTATTTTGACGTTTTGACTTATGTATTGACATGCTTAGACTAAAGAAATGTCATTAGAGATCCGACTATAATGTGTGGACGATTTCAAAACATTTGGATACTGCCAGGTTATTTGTACTGCGATACTGCCATATTAAATATATTTTTTCTTCGCACGAACCTATATCATGTAAAATAAATCAAAAATAAAAAAAATAAAAATCATAAATCAAAAATATTGGTGCCTATAAATTATTATTTTTTCAAATATAATATTATAATAATATATAAATGCATCTTTTAATTGAAAAAATAATAGTTGCAATTTTTTTTTTTAAATGTTTACACATGTGTTGTGTAGAAAGTACATTAAAATTATTATTTTTTAATCGTTTTGTTTTATATACACGATTCGTACACAATGTATAAATACTTTTTATGATTTTATGTTTGTAAACAAAAATAAAAAGTTCTCAATTTAATTTTTTAACATTGTTCACGGCTAAAGATTCACACAAGTCCTGAGAAACGTTTTTAAAATCAAATTTTTACGAACATAATTATGATAATATTTAATGAGGTGTTAAATAATTAAAAGTTGGCTGTTGTACGGTGTATATATAATTATATGTAGGTATTTATATATTTTCTGTTCCCTACTAAATTGATATTTACCACTAAATTATATATAAATATTTTACACTTTAGCACTAATCTATTTTAAGAAAGTTTTTTTAATTTATATCTTCAAATACCGTTATTTTCATTGAAGATGTAATTATAGCAATAGGTAAAAAAATGTTGAAATACATCAATTAACAAAATATTTTATCAAATATGATATGAAAACTATAAAAAACACTTAAATATAAACAGAATATATTTTCAAAATTTAGAAAATTATCTACAATTTGCCTGAATATTAATTATAGTTCTAAAACACCACATATTATGGATTCTTTAAAGGAAGAAAAAAATGTATAGGCATTTTACTATTTTAGAAATGAATATACAATATGTTGTTATATTTTTATATCCATCAATTATGTATTTTCTGGTTAACCTTACTTAGACTTTTATTTTTTCTAATTAAATTTGTAATATTTTAATTTTAATTTTAAAGATAGAACATTTGACGCAAATTGTTTACATGCAATTTTGTAGTAGGTGTTAACAATAAAATTTGATTCCACAATTTTGTTAATTTATCACAAAACATAATAGTGTAACACGTAGGTTAGAAGTTAATTATTATTTTTAATTATAACTCTAACAAATTTTAAGGTTTTCTATGGTACTATGGTAAAAATATATGTATTAATTTCATGAATATAAACTTTATTTTTAAATAAATGTGTCATTTTAAGACCGGTGATTTTAAACACCAAATGTATATATAGGTACATACCACATTATAATATAGTATCTAAATTGTAATTTATCCAGACATTTTTTAATAATAATTTTTAATGTAAATAATATTTTTATAGTTACAAATAACAACGAAATCACTGTTATATTGAATTATGTGGTACAATATACTATTTATAGTTAGCCATTTTGAATTATTAGTCAAGTTGATTTTATGTAATTTTTAGTTATGGTTTTAAGCCATTCAATCGTATGACTATTTAGTTAGGAGTATCTCATGATCTATTCATTAATTAACTAATAATAGCTAGGTTGATAATCATTACTAGGTATTTAATTATTTTACGATACAATACAGTGATTAATTAAATTAGAAATATTATCAATTTCAGAATTTTCTACTAATTTTCTAGATTTAATAATAAAAATAGGAATGTACTAAATTATACCCGACACGAAATAAAATAGACTTGATTTTTATAAAGTACTAATAATAGAATAGGTATATGTGCGAAACTATAAATTATTCTACTATAAAAAAAGTTACAAGTACACAGCATATTATAGCCATAACAGTAAAACATAAAAGTTTTTATAATGAAGTAAAAACTATATTACATATTTTTGAAAGTCGATTTCGTTCTAAACGAAAAAATAAATTTCGTGAGTGTTAAAATTAAATGCAATAATCCTAAGGTTAGGAAACATTTATTTCAAAATCCACGTTTCTAATCAATATTATATATTATTTTTAGAAAGTCTTTATCCACACACAATATTTGGAGTATCGTTAAACGATTGCTTAGAACAAGAGCGGTCATCAAGATCTCACTTAAAGGTTCCAACCGAGGCTCAGTATGTGCCGAAATCCCCTCGTGGGAGAAGCAGTTTTTCAAGTTACATTGAAGTTCCCAAAGATTCTAGTGAGGTAAAATTGTAAAATTAATTAAACTTGATTTGAAATTAAAAATGATGGCTTGAATGCATCACTTTTTTTTTTAATGCGCGAGTAGTAAATTGTATTACGGGTTTTCTTATTTTACACATTACATAATATTTTCTTTCCAGCGATCACATTCCTGTGACTCTACATCAAGCACACCTGTCAGTGAGTTGATTAAGACTTTCACAAGTTCTAGTTCAGATATTTTATCTGATGATAATGATAGTGACATTAAATCAAACAAAAATGGAGTTCCTAGTTTTGTCACTTCATGCTTAAACTACTTAGAAACATATGGGCTTCACAAAGTTGGAGTGTTCCGGATAAGTAGTTCGAAAAAACGTTTAAGACAGGTAAATTTTACTTTTGAAAATGATGGTGATGACTGTAGGTCTTATTTATTAATTTTTACACACTCATATTAGTTGAAAACGATAGAACTAGAATATTTAAGAGAACGTCGTCGGTACCCATATGTAGTGTTGTTTCCACCTTATAAGTATACAAGCGCTAACATACCAAAATGTACGTTTAGCAATTCCAATTTTCAGCTTTGTATTTGTGCAGATTAACCTATTATAAAAATAAAAGGCAAGAGAGCGGTATCCGTGCTCCGCGGTGTATTGGATTCTTACCATATTTTGATTTTTAAGCAAAATTATGAGTACATAAAATATTAATATATAATAATGCTTTTAAAAATTAAAATATCATGAAAACCAACGAAAAACAAGCAGATATTTTTCTTACCTCCAAAATTCATAATATGTAAATTTAAGTCCAACCAAAACGCAATAGTTTAAGCTGCTTATATTTTGGTGTGTTATGCTTCAGTGTAAGACGGAAACGATACACGACCACTGCACGTGCGACGTTCTCCTGAGAAACTTATTTTTATTTTCATCGTAAAATGTTCTTTAAGCTTCGAGAAGATTTCGATCACGGGAAAACGTTAGAAGAAACACTATCGAAAAATGAAGATCACGTACATGATGTAGCTACTTTATTAAAAGAATATTTTAGGGCACTGCCCGATGCATTACTCTGTAACGATCTATATCAATGTTTCATACAAACTCAGAGTACGTATATTCATATAAACAAACATTTATGCACCTATATTTCAACGAACAATTTTTTTTTTTAGAAATACGTAACAGGCATTTGCAACTGGATGCAATTAAACATCTGATACAATTGTTACCTGTGCCAAATCGTAATACACTCCACGCGCTACTTATGTTTTTAAGTAATATGGCAAAATTTTCAGAAGATTCAAAAAATATAAATGGTAAGAGTTGTTTTTGTTTTCAAAACTTTGCTTTCCTTAACTTTTATTAAATAAACTATGCAGGCACCTTAGACACCATTAAATTAGGTATATAATATAGATTGGTTTATATTTCATTTTACTAGTTATAATATTAAAAGGTTTATTACAACTTTTAATAATTAAGTTATACCTGTTTACAACATTGACGCAGATAGTATACCTACTTTTAGTATAATAGCGGTATCTATAAAAAGTATTCAATTTCGACATTTTTAAAGATCGATAACACATTGACTGAAGAGTTGCAGCTAAACTTTAACAAATATCCATCCACATTACATGCCTATCGTTATATTTTAAAATAAATAGTTTCTATACAATATCTGTGTTTAACATTATCGACAACCATTGATCAACTACTTTAGGAATTTATGATTAACCAACCCAACAACAAAATGATGAATTTAGAGAAGGTTACAATCAAAAAAAAAAAAAATGCTTACCCTAAACTGCCTATATCTTATAATCACGAATATTAGAAATAGTTCACTTTAATTGTATTAGTAGAAATATTAGTTCTTATTTACTCAATTTGAAAACGTATCTGATTTTTTATTGAATGATTTAGATAATTAAGAGAATTGCTTGTTATTTCTAACAAGATTATCTTTGTTTTAGGTCATCTAGTAGAAGGTAATAAAATGGATGCGAGTAACTTAGCTACGTTATTTGCACCAAACATCCTCCATAAGCCTATTAAAGAACTTAGTTCCAATGATTTAAGCGAAGAAATGACGATGGAAAGAAGATTAGCAATTGACGTAGTTACAGCTCTAATTGTAAATTACGAATATTTATTTAAGGTACAGTGAAATATACATATATATATATATATATACCAACTTTAAATTATAATCCAATTTTCTACTATAGTTCAAGCATACAATTAGCTGAATTTTAATATTTTGTATAGAGTGTAGATATAACTTTATATTATAGTGTCTATACATTTAGTTGAAATACAGTATTGTCTATTAAAACAAGAAATAATCTAGACAATTTGCATAGTTATTGTAGTTACAAAAATATAAAACGTTCAATTTTTATAGCTAAGAATTGCAAATTTAAAACAAGGATTCTTATAAGTAGTTTATACTGTAACAAAAATATTTCAAAAATATATCAACACAGTTATTTTTTGCAGACATTTTAAGCTCAAATTTGGTCGAAATTATTTACAAAAACCAATAATAATGATTTTAGTTTTTTGATTGTAATTTAAAAATATTACTCTTGGGTACTTGAGACTTTTGGAAAAAAATATTTTAACCTATTGTATTACTAACACCTAATAGTAAAATAAATTACTTTAATCACCATAATATCATTCAATGTACTAAGTAAAAATAAAAGACAGTCCGTATTAGCTAAGAATTGGTTTTCGTAAACAATGATTTTATATCATTGAATTGAAATTTAACATTATCCATTACAGTGACCCACCTGCAATCTACCTACTGTACAGCAGACTGATATCCACTTACCAGCTTTTTTTAATATGATTTTTATTATTATATACCTAACTATACCAAATATTTTATGAAAATTAGAAAAAAATACACGATATTAGTCATTGGGAAATATTAGACATTATCATATATAAATTTGAAAATATTTAAATTTACTTTATTCTCGAATTATACAGAGAAACTCGTGCAGTATAATAATGTGGCACGTAGGTACGCGTGAAAGACAGAAATGACAAATTTTAACTAGTATTGCCTACCGGTTATTGACACACATTATTCACTAAAATAAAATGTTTTTTAAGGTACCAGCTGACCTCCTCGATGAAGTATATGTTCATATGCTTGATACAAACCCTGAAGGTCTAGACAATGTGATGAGATTACGATTTTCGAACGTCGAGAAAACTATCCAGTAATTTTAATACTGTTGTGTGCGTTATTGTTTAAGATACTAAAAAAAAAAAATAAGTAATTTGAACAGTAAAATTTAATTTTTGTTTATTTATAAAATGTTTTTTTTTTATATTAAGTTACATTGCTCATTAGTTGATGCGTTCATTAAACGTGTATAATGTATATTATGTTTTGTGTAGGTAGGTATAAATACTGACACGCACTAATCTAATTTGATGATCGATGAAAATTATGATCGAGAAAAAATTAAACAAATGTGAAGTAGAACAAATTTTAGAGTCTAACAATAGTTTTTGAATAGTTTGTAATGTAGGAAATTAGCTATTATATTCCGTCAGTGGCACCAAACCATTTTTCGCTTACCTTTTAACTACCAACTAGTAGTTCCAATATCCAATAAGCGCTAAGATCCACAAAAATAATTTAAACTGATAACTGAACGAATAACCATCGATTTACAAATAATCAAAACTGTATTTTGTTCATTTTGACAATATACACCTATACTTACCCATCTACTAATTTACCCAGTTCAGTACAACAAGCTAAAAAACACGTTCAGCGCCACTGTACAGAGTACATACATTGTGCAAAATAGTTGTCATACTAATCTTCATAAATAACCTAAACAAGGGTTAAATTTTAAATAATATAGTGTAAGAATAAAAGTCGTATCTTTATAACTAAAAGTTTGATATACTCACAGATTTATAAAATATACAACTTATATAAATATGGTTAAATAACAGCTGTTTTCGGATTAATAATCTAAATAAAATAACAGACTAGGCATTGTGATTTTTTATAACTAACGAGTCTTTGCATTACCGTAAGTTATAAAATAATAAAATAATTTTTAATCTATGTTATTAGCAGCAACATAAATAAAATCTTTATTACAACAAGTAATAATGATGGTGCTATGTCGCATTATAAGTGGAGTTTAAACATATACTTTGCTACTTTAATTAACTTTCATTAACATTTAATACTAACATTTAGCGTTCATTTAAAAATAGACCAACCGTTTCACGGTGAAATGAATTATTTTAAGCGGTAAAGTCATGATTTTTTTATTACTTTAGCTACAACATTGAATTCTAAGACACCGTGGAATGTAAATGTCTTTAAATTTTGTGTTAAACATGTGTAGTTATGACATTAAATCGCAGAGTACTTACATTTATTTTTGTTGTTAGAAATGGATCCACACAAGAGTCAAAAGAAACTTTGTCAACTGTTCAAGATAAAACTGGAGCAAGCGTTTCTCCAGAATTTGAGTCATCAAAACATTCGGACAGTCAGGAAAAAAAAATTTGGACAAGGGGAGAATTCACACACCAAAATTCCGGAATAGGCGGATCGGACGACAATGAAGATTATAGATATAAGTAATCTGCATTTTTAGTTCATCCATTGATATAATGCAACAAAAAAATAGTACATTTCTTTTTTTTGTTGTACTTCCGTGTTTTTGCACATAGTTTTGTATAAACAATAAACATGTCATAATTGTCGTAATAATTTAAAAATTATTTTATTCGTTATTTTAGGCCTAGAGAAAGAGAAACCAGAAGAAGCCGGAGTAAAGGAGTGACGGCTTTTTTCCCGGACGATGTTGAAGCGTTTACTTACCCAGTATTTGAACGCATGCAAATGAGTAAAAAGCCTGAAAAAATGTCAAGTAATCAAATACACGCAAATGGAAACCAAGTAAGTTTTACTAAAACTAATATACATATATCAATATTTTGATTGGGTATTTATATCAGCCATTAAAAACGTACCGTCTACTGTTCAAATAAATATCCTCAACGGTGACCCGAGTAATAACTAATGAGTAATAACTAATAAACTATGACTAAATCAATTAAATTATTTGTGTAAATGTTTGCTTTTAAGTTTGAAACGACATATTTCATAACGTGGCCAGAGGAAAGTTGTTTATACATATCAATATTATATACCGAATTCCAGAGGCTTAAGGGGGGGTTCACGGGGGTCCTCAGTCCTCCTACCTCTGACGGCAGTTAAGCGTTACCTTTAAAAATGTAATATTGTTTATGATCTAAATTTTATATGAAACAAATTACAAATTTTGAACATTGTAACAGGGTAACAAGTGGGATGAGTATGCTTACACAATCGCTGTTTATACATTACGCGTATTCATTAGACATAATTAAAATGATATAATATGGAACTATATGACATTGGTCCCCCTCCCCCCCGCCGAAATTTTTTCCCACTTTAAGCCCGGCCTACTTCCCAAATAATATATTATTTATACCGTGTCCGGCGACCGACACATATACATAACAATGAAGGTATACATAATTCAGATTCAGTATAGGGAACTGTAATTGGATATTTTTTTGTTCGTTAAAAAATAGTGACATTTCAATATTTGTTCAATAATATCGATTTTGATTTAGGTAAATGATTATGACGGCGTTATAACTGCCAGTTTAATGATACCCGTGCCTATTAAACAACTACCTAATTCGTCATACCCATTGAATGTAGAGGACACCGATATACCGTTTATTGAAGACGAGAGCAGACAAAGTAATAGTAAGTTATTTATATTGTTGCATTATAATACATGCATTGTTGTATTCAATCAATTAAATCATGAAAATAATTGTTCCACCAAAATCGAGTAACTATTCGTCTAAAAGATAATTTAGAGCTACAAACTACAATAAGATAATATATATATTATAGGCGTACATAGGGTGTATCACCAAGTGTTTATTAATTTGAAGCAAACGCTAAGAACTAAAAAACTATTGGATAATTATGCTATTTTTTAGGCTTTTATAATTATTATATATATATATATCCTATCTGTTATAATCAAAATTAATAATACACAGTGTAATACTGTATGCACTATGACAATAATTAATTCATAGTCGATATCATCAATACGCAAATTATAGTTATCTATACCTGTTACAGTTCAAAATCTCTACCAATGAATGTATTATTTTTTTTAATTTAAATAAGCTGTACGCAAATTGTCTTATATTTTTGATCAATATTATTTTGGAACTGTAGAATATTGAGATTGTTGAATTTTAGGTTCTACGACAAATTATCATCGCGTATTAACTACGGTATCTTCAGACAGCAGTTCCATATCCAGCCCGCCGACTTCACCCGATAATGTCTGTGGAACAACAAATTATACTCCAGATTATTACAACAGAAAGACTGCAAAATCTGAGCAAAGAAGCATGCAGTCCATTAAAGACTTGTCGAAGGACGTGGACTCGGATCACTATAAAGCAGAAAAAAAAGGAAAAGAAAAGGACATAAAATTTTATCAGAAAATATTATCCAGCACAGGTCTGGACAGGCTGTCGAAAAGCGCTAGTTCTACGGGTGTAACTAAGGGTTCTGTGTACAAAGAAAAGTTAAAACACGGACCCGACGACACGTCATTGTCTCCAGTAAGTATTGAAACTCTGTGACATTTATACATATTAGTTCCGCACGAGTATGAATTAATTTCATTGCTCAATTCGTTATTTAATACCTTTTATTTACTCGGAAAACACTATGAATATTCGTAGAAATTAATATGGGCTAGGCACAAGAGTTTCGGAAAAGCGCAATAATATGAAGCAGTATTGTGGTAATTGGACAATTTATATGGTTGGGGCCGGGGGGAGCCATTTTACATTTCGGTTTAACCGCAGATTAAACTTCTCAAATTAATTCTTAAATACTTTTTTCAAATTAAAATTCTGACGAGTAATATCAGAGTCATTACAATGTATACATCTACTAACTATACTATAAAGACTAAGTCCACAAAAATGGGTTCTCAAAAATATAAAATAGGTATACTTAATGCTAGTACACATTATACTCACGATAATTTTTACAAATTATTTATTGTTAATAGATGAATATTAAACAATAATTAGTGATTACTAAAATTTTCAAATCATCATAACATCATCTTTTACGTCTATATTTTAAAGTGGACTTATTATTTTATATAGGTACTACATCAAATTAAAACTCAATAACAATTTCCATTTAAATAAATCTAAACTTTCAACAAAGTTATTTGCTAAGTGCTAGGCAATTTAAAAGTAAAAAGGTGTTTCTCATTAGAAAAAAAAAATAATATTTTCCTACAGTCAAATCATCGTTTAAAATATATATTTTACTTTTTTGAATAAACTAAACTCATACTGAAATATCTAAAATGCGTTTTTGATAAACTTTTACTGATTTATATTAACTACAAAATGAGAAGAGTGGCAACCGGAGAGGGTTCCACACAAAATGCAGAACACCAATGAGTTAAAACGAACCAAAATGCAAATGCCATGTGTTCATATTTTTTTAAGTGAATACTTCATAGGTGACAGTGGACCGTTAACACATCCAAACGCTCGTCGTTTAAACGTAAATTTATTTGGTTAAATTTTTTATATTTTTTATACTAGCCACTAAGTAAAGGTATACATTACAATATTGGGTACCTACACATTTACGTTCATTATTGGTGAACGGTCAATTTCTTAGGTCAAGTAAAAATTTGCATTGTAGAACTCGGACACTTTGTACTATTGTATACGTAGAGTATACATTATGCAAATATAAGTAAATATAATTATTATGTATACAAAACAATGTAAGTGTATACATAACGTCATACAGTTTTGTGACATTTAAACATTATTTGATTTATTTTATATTTTGAATTAAATTAAAAATATTGTCCCTATAGGTAACCAAGCCAAAGTGATCAGTTTTTAAGTGTACAGGTTATCTGGTATAACAATCAAGCATTATAGGTAGATACTTGGCGCTGTAATATATATTTTATATTATAATTATATTGCCAAATGGTATTTAAACTCAATGACGTTTTTAATAAAATTGCGGTCGTGACAATTCAGACTTTTGGTATTACCTATAGCTATATCTACACATATCATACTCTGTGTAGCTGTATACAATGCTATGTGTTTATAATAGTACAAAGTTTCGGCAGTCTTAATTTTTACCCCGACCGCGTTTCGCGCTTTTAATATTCGACCTCGCGTACAACGTGACCCATTTATAGAACCTCGATCGCTATGTGTATATTACATTCTGGTCAAATATTATAATTATTACGACCGTTTAAGTTAAATATCGATTTGAGCGTGCACTCCTGCCGCGTGCACTGGCACACACACACACACACACGCGCGCGCGTATTTTTATTTTCATTTTTTCCCCCCAGGAACCCGTGAAAGTGTGCTCCAGCATAACCAACATAGGCGGCGCGGTCCTGCGGTCCAAGACGGCCGACATCGAACACATATTGCGGAAACAGGCGGCTCTGAAGCCCAGGAAGGTCAGCCAGTCGTCGGAACCGTCGTCGGCGGGCCACGAGAAACCCAAACGGAAGACTTCGGCCGAAGCCACCAGACATCCGCTGAGGATGGAACCGGATCCGAACGTGGGCGAGAGGCTGGCCGGATGTTCGTCGTACCGGTCCCCGTCGCCCACGAGGAACGTCTGGAGACGGAAGGACGTCATATCCAGCATGCCCAAGCACAAAAAACCGTACAACTGAATACACGCCGCGGTCAGACATATTGTGTAGATATGTACTATGATAATAATATCATATTGTTTCATTATTTTATACCATCATAATATGTCATTGATTATGGTCCACGACCGACGGCGTCATATTATTATTATTATTATCGTATTATTACAAAAATATAGGTCATATGATTATGTAAATAATATACACTATTATATTATTATTATTATTATTATTATTATTATTATTATTATTTTACTGTCACGCACGATATGCTTTTCTGTTTATTCGTTTTAGTCGGTGCAAAATGAAAATAAATCATACATGTATATAAAACAAACAAACTGTAATCACATTAAAAAAATAAGTCTTAATATCATATAAATATACTTGTATTTGTGCTTACTAATTATTATACTTTTTATACTTTTGAATTTTATTGTTTAACGTTTTTTTTTTTTTTCAATATTTTATTTAAATATTTTTTATACTATCATAGAAAATTATTATAGTAATTGTTTATCTTTTGACAAACACAACTTCTAATGTAAAAATATTTAAATATTTTTTATAATTTCATCTTATTAAAAAAAATCGTTGAGACTCGAGTCTTTTGAACTTATTAATCTTGATGTATGGATGTTATCGATCACATTATTATAATTATTATTATTATATTATTATTATTATTATTATTATTATTTTTATTATTATAATTTTTTTTAATTTTTTTTTTTTTAAGACAGTAAAACGATACATTGTATTTCGCTTTGTAATAATGGATATGCAATGTTCACAATTCATGGATAAACATATTGTTGTATTATATATACTCTGAGATTTAGGTTTCATTTAGTTATTTAAAACCGTACAATTGGTAAGTACTTAGTACTTACCTATACTTAATTTAATCAAGCCCGCAAGACTTACATCAAACATTTTACACATTTTATTTAAAATTGTTTTATTATATTCTTCAACTTAGTTTGTATATCACATAAAAAAATATGCTTAAAAAGACCGCCTATATCTACAATATCATTTTCCGGTATAATTTAATAAACTGCAGTGTAGACTGGACCGCGTTCTAGTGCAATTGCAATTTTGGTTGCATCCAAAAACTGCAAACCTAATTATGACTTTTACTTCAAAAAGATCGACGGACAAGAACCGCACACTTTGTATAGAAAAACACAGCACCCTTGCTGTGGATTAATTCCACAATCATATAAAGACCTAAAGGTGTACAATCATTAACGTCAAAAACTTTTACCGAGTTTACCAAAAAGTTTGGTAGACGCACTAAATATTATTTTAAATTGTGATATTCTATTACTACACAAAATTTTAAAAAAAGCGTATATGTGGGCAACGCTTTACTGTACATTAGATGCCAAGAGAGTCACTGTAATGGATGTGTTAATTCAATGATATATAAAATCATAACAAAAGAAAATCGATTCTGAGCAAAGGCAGTCTTTCAACCTATGATATTACTAAGTAGGTATATTTTATAATATTATTGCGATCGAAGACGTAATTTATTTTACTATGAAGCACTTGTACTGCAGTAGCCATTTGGTAAGTTACATAACTGGATTTGAAAATTTCACTGTGTGTATAAAATTAAATATACTCTAAACGTTTCAAGTGCCCAAGATTCTGTAAATAATAATATACTATACAAAGTATTATACTTTGTACTTAATTATTTTGTAACTGTTGAGTTATCATAGTTGTATACTAGTGGCTTTTTGTATAACGTTTTTAAAATACTGATCCCCACATTTTATTTTTGCACAAGGGCCCTCGGAGTTCAAGATCCTGCCTTAGAATAATATTTTTAAATTACAACAAAATAACTAAAAACGCTATTCTTGTTATCCATGTGTAAACAACAAAATAACTATAAAATAATGTGTTTATTTATTTTTTAGATTATTTGGTTACAGAAGAAACTATACTCGAGTGGAACCTTGTTTTGAATAGTCAATCCTAAGCTTTAAAAATTGAACATTTTATAAATTTTTAACTACAAAATAATTTGATCATTTTCAATTTGATACATTTTGTCGAACATTGAACTTTACTAATTGGTACTTATAAAAAAAAATTGCAGTCGTACCTATTTTTAATATTTTTAAGCTGATATTGTACGAATGTACCTATGATGGGCTTTGATTAAATTTTTAAGGTTTTTGACCGAAAAAATAAAATTGTATTGACACATACAGAAAAAAAAACTAAAAAAATTGAAAATTAAAAATATTCTTTAACAGCTTTAAACAAGTTAAAATATTTTGAGAATTTTATCGAGTATAGGAAATTATAAAATAAACATTTGGTGTAATTTTCAAGCATCTACAATTATTTATTTCTGAATCATAAAAAATAAGAAAATTGTTCCATGAGAAATAGAGAGACTATCCAATGTGGAAAAAATGTGAACTTCAAACGCTCAAAAAAATTTAATTTGACTTTCCGGTAGACATTATAGACTTGATAAAGATAGAAAAATTTATGAGGAATCCTGTAGGTATTACATTTTTACATCTTAGAAGTAAAAAGAATAATTTGTATGTATTTCCAACTCAAAATTAGTTAGTAAATTCAGTTATCTGCTGTACGTTGACCTGTACGGTCGTTTTGCGTTTTACGTCGGTCGCTTATCGCAGTTACCGCTTTACAATTGTTATCTAACCGCATATAGTGCTATATCGTTGCCGTTGTGCTCGCGTTTCATTTCCATATTAATTAGCACCTATATCCCATTAATCACGTACATAATCTATACATAATGTCTATTTGTAATAGCTGTTCTACTGCTATTACATCAAGATCCTTGTCCATTTCTTGCAATGATTGCAAATTACCGTGGCATGCAAAATGCCAAAAACTCACAAAAGAAGACATTGCATTTTATAACGATGAAGGCTCATACTGGAGATGTCACAAGTGTTCGGCAGAAAAAAGAGCTTCTCTACGAATTGATAACCAAATTAATGATGATAATACAAATCTCTCCGATATTAAGGACATTATATTACAACTCAAAGATAGTTTTGAAATGTTTAAAAAAGAAACCGGGAACAACTTCGATCTTATAAACAAAAAAATTAATATGATTGATAAAATCATAACAGATAATCAAAATATGAAAACCCAAATCAATACTCTAGAAAGCAAAATTGAATTCCTTGAACGTCGTTTGATTAATAATGAAATTGTCATTGACGGTGTTCCAGAAAATAAATTAGAAAATAGCTACGAAATAGTCAAAAACATCGGTACTCAACTTAATATTAAAATTACAGACCCTATGATTAATGACTGTCACAGAGTTGGTCGTACACAAAATAATCTTACAAGAAGAATAGTGGTTGGATTCACAAGTCACCAAGATAAAGTAAAAATATTAGACTCTCGTAAAATAATAAGGAATCTGTCCACAAAGAATATTGGTATAGAACCTGAAGTGTCAATATACATAAGAGAAAATTTAACATCAAAAAGCAGTTTCCTATTCAAACTAGCTCGAGACTTCCGCAATCAATACAACTATAAATTCGTCTGGACTAAAAACGGGCAGATTTTCCTCCGCAAAAATGAGTCAGAGAAAATAATCAACGTGGCCAATGAAGAGGTAATTCATAATCTGAAATCTAACTCTACTCATTTAAAATAATTTGTTTCTTATTTGCAAAATCATACTCTCACATTAACATTAAAAAAAATTATCTACAATTTATCAATAACTACATTTATTTAATATTCTTATGTAAACACACACACTATTCAAAATTATTATTGTATTGTCTAATACTTAAATTGTTATTCCCTAATTACGTAAACAGAAAGAAGGTCTTATTAGTGAACGTCTATTTTAATTCATTAGCCAGGTTTTTAACCACTAAATATCACATTAATTATCTTTACAAATATTCATTGAACTTTAAACCAATACACTACTATATATGTCTCTCATGCCATGATTATCTCACTATATTTTATGAACACTAATTATAACACCGATAGTGCATTAGTTCTTGATAACATTAACGATTTGTGTGAAATTGAATGTGTGTATAATAATCTCGACACCGTAATGTACAATCAAAATGCAATAAATATATTTACAATGAATATCTGCAGTATACAAAAACACTTTGATGAATTATGTATTATTTTGGATAATATTGAAAAAAAATTTGAGGTAATTATCTTAACTGAAGCTTGGCTAGGTTTAGAAGGTATATCAATTAATAATTTCCAAATGAATGGTTATACGGTTCATGCAACCGAGCATAATAAAAATAAAAATGATGGAGTCGTAATTTATTTAAAAAACACATTACATGTTATCACAGTATCAGAACTCAACATTCAAAATATAACAGCCCTAGAAATTGTCTTCAAAAAATCTAAAACTGATTTTCTGATTTACCCACTGTACAGATCACCCAATAGTAACGTTGATTCTGCTCTAAATGAACTAAATGATACCATATTATACAGATCTACCCTAATAGCCGCTAAATATAAAATTATATTGGGTGACATTAATATTGATTTGCTTAAACCCTCAAAAATAAAAGAAGACTATTCGCTTATAATGGCACAGTTTGGTTTTTTACCATTAATCAAAAACATCACCAGACCTACCTCGAAAACATGTATAGACCACATATTTTTAAAAACAAAATCCTATAACAATCTGCTACCAATAGTTGTGCATACAAACATAACAGATCACTACCCAACGACTCTTAGTATAGGTAACTTATCAGATAACCGTAATAACAGTCCGAACCCCTTGAAAGTCTTAAAAATTGATGACTCTAAGCTAACTAATCTGGTTCAAAATCATAATTGGTCAGAAATATTCGACTTTAATGATGTCAATTTAGCCTTACAGTACTTGGTTGAAACTATAAATAAACTAAAAAAAAACTCCACAACAGAAATAACTATTTCATCTAAAACTAAAAAATTAAAGCCATGGGCCACAACAGCGATTATTAATTCCATTAGATATAGAGATCGCTTACATATACAAGTTAGAAAATTCCCTCAAAATCTGAAATTAAAAAGCTACTACATACGATTTAGGAACAAATTAACCAATGTAATAAAAGACGCTAAGATAACGTACTAT